ACCTTGCATTTCTCTGTTGAATGTCATCGGGTTTTGATTCACCCACCTTATGAGCCAGTCCAGGTTGGCCTGAATTGTCAACCTGTCCTCTAGCGTGACCGTACTTCCCTATAATTTGGTGTTGTCTGCAAACTTAGCCAGCCCACTTCTGACACCTGAATCCAAATCATTTATGAATATAGTAAAGAGTACTGGTCCAAGTACTGAGCCCTGGGGGACGCCGCTGATCACCATGCGCCATGTTGACTCAGTTCCATCGACCAGCACTCTCTGAGTCTGACCACAGAGCCAGTTCTGCAGCCATCGGACCATAAGGTTGTCGAGGCTGCAGTTCCCCAATTTTACCATGAGGACATCATGGGAAACTAAGTCAAAGGCTTTTTTGACTTGATATCTAAATATATGACATCAACCTCTTCTGCTTTGTCCAGGTGATGCATCACCTGGTCATAGAAGGAATGAGGTTGGTCAGGCAAAACCTACTTGCAATGAAGCCATGTTGGCGCTCTCTCAGAACGTTGTCTTCTGTTAACCTGTTGTTGATGGTTTCTTTGATTACTTTTTCCAAGATCTTTTCAGGGATTGAGGTCAAACTGATTGGCCTGTAGTTCCCTGGATCTTCCTTTCTTGAAGCTAGGCACCACATTGGCCCTGTTCCAATCTTCAGGAACCTCTCCTGAGTGCCATGAGTTCTCAGATATCCTTGTCATTGGTCATGCTGTGATGTCAGCCAACTCTTGCAGCACTTGGGTGCATTCCATCTGGGCCAGCTGACTTGTGGATGTCCAGCTTCTCAAGCTGTTCCATCACAAGATCTTCGCCAGTTATAGGCATGTGATTGTCCTTACCCTGGTAGTCCTGCATCCTATCACCCTTGGGCTGGTGGAAAACTGACACAAGGTAATTGTTGAGGAGATTAGCTTTCTCCTGGGTGTTGGTTGTCAGCTGCCCCACTTGGTTCCACAAGGGTCCTATGGTGCATTGTCCCGTCGCCCCCCCCCGACTTCCCACATATTTGAAGGACTTTTTATTGTCCTTGATTCATGTAGCCAGTTTTAGTTTGGTTTCCACCTTGGCTTTTCTGGCCCACTCCCTACAGGTGTGGGCCAGTGCTGTGTAATTCTCCTTAGTGGTAGTTCCCAACTTCCATCCCTTATAAGCTTCTCTTTTCAGATTCAGGAGGTCCATGAGTTCCCTACTAAGACATGGAGGTCTCCCAGCCCTTTTGATACCTGCTCCCCAGCCCTTTTGCCCCCGCTCTGTCCCCTCCGTCACCACCATCATGGTGGCACGCTGCACTCTGATTGGTTTCACTGACCAATCAGAGTGCTCCAGGAGCATTACAAACAGACAGAAAGATAGACTAAGCCCTTTATTATATAAAGAACTGCCTGTATCAGAAATCGGCCTGATGTGGCCAACAATGTGGCCAATAAACACCCCGTGCATGAGCACAGCTGCAGTGCAGCAAATAGGCAATGAGGAGCACAGCCCAGCAGCTTAGAAAGCTGTGTGCAGCTGGTAAATCAGTTGTGGTGGATGGGGAGGGGGGAGGGAAGGGACATAGTGGGGCAGATCAAGACCCTTGCGGTGAAAGGCTGGGGCAGGTGCTGCCCAGCCAAGGAGGGGTGCAGGACGGCACTGCAGCTCATCTGGGGGGTGCAACTCCAGCTGCTGCACACACCCCGGGAGGGCACAGGGAGGAGCTGGGGCCTTGGACCTGCACAGGGCGGGGCGGGGCGGGGCAGGCTGCAGCTGTGGGTTGGGCCAGGGCTGAACTGAACTCTTCCCATCAAGGGCTAGGCTGGTCTGCGCTTGGGGTGGGGCGGGCAGTGGTGGCACTGGGAGGCAGGGTTGGGGGTGAATTTCAGGCAGCCCCCCTCATAGCCTCTTCCCAGCACTGCTGCTGCCTGCCCCAAGTGCAACCCAGCCCAGCCCCTGCTGGGAAAAGCCTGGCACAGCTCTGGCCCTAGCCCACAGCTGTAGTCTGCCCCTCTCTATGCAGATCTGAGGGGCGCATGCCCCTCCCACAGTAAACACAACAGTGAGAGCTGCCCCACCCCGTGCCTCCTGGATGAGCCACAGCTCCCTCCCATGCCTTACACTCACCCTGCCACCCCTAGTACATCTATTGCCAGGAATTCTCGAAGACTGGGCACACTTGAACAAACATAGAAAACAAACTCTGAAAAAACTAAGGCAGAGGTTTTCAAGGAGGTGATCCTCCCCCTCTATATGACATTGGTCAGGCCACAGTTGGAGTGCTGCGTCCAGTTTTGGGCGCCACACTTCAGGAAGGATGTGGACAACATCAAGAAGGTGCAGAGGAGGACCACTCCCATGATCAGGGGACAGCAGGGCAGGCCCTACAAGGAAATGCTAAGGGACCTGAACCTGTTCAGCCTCCACAAGAGAAGGCTGAGGGGGGATCTGGTGGCCGTCTATAAACTGGCCAAGGGAGAGCAGCAGGCAATGGGAGAGTCCCTGTTCCCTCGAGCACTACTGGGAGTAACAAGGAACAATGGCCATAAGTTGACAGAGAGTAGATTCAGGCTAGACATCAGGAGGCACTACTTCATAGTCAGGGCAGCTAGGATCTGGAACCAACTTCCAAGGGAAGTGGTGCTCGCCCCTACCCTGGGGGTCTTCAAAAGGAGGCACCTTGCCGGGGTCATTTGACCCCCAGCATTCTTTCCTGCCATGGCAAGGGGTTGGACTTGATGATCTGCTCAGGTCCCTTCTGACCCTACCAACTTTGAAACTATGAAACTTTTTTTAAGCAGGGTACCCCTTTTGGTGGGTGGGGGTGGGTGCTGATAGATGCCCAGACACAAAGTTGGCAGTGTGGGGAACTTGTACCCAGCCACTGCCCCCATCTATACACTTTGCAGCCGGTTGGCCAGGGAGCAGGGTGGGGTTGCTGATGGCTTGCCAAACATGAAACCAGCAGCACAGAGAAGCAGGGGTACCCATGAAGCAGCAGCACGGGGGATGGAGCCACTGCTGCCATCCATCACACCACGCTGTTTTCCTGCGCCCAAATATCTCCACTTCTCCGTGCTGCTGGCTTCGCATACAGCCCACCATCAGCACCCCTCCCTCCCTCCCCCCCCGTCCCAGCACATAGCAACAACACTGAGGGTATAGATGGTGGGGGGCAGCCACTGGGTGCAAGCTCCCCACACCGCCACCACACACTGGGTGGGGATGGGGCGCAGGAAAGTGGTGCATGGGACCATGGATTAATGGATGGTGGCAGCGGCCCTGCCCCTCAGGCTGCCACTTCCCAGGTACGCCTGCTTCACCACGCTGCAGGCTTCATGTCCGGCCATCCGTCAAAGGAAGGGGCATGGAGGGGCCCATTAAGGCCCCTGCAGTGAAGGAGGGAGTGCGGCTGGGGCTGGGGCAGGTGCTGCCCAGCCTGAGCAGTGCACAGGACAGAGCCACAGCTTGTCTGGCGGGGAGGGCAGGGGCAGGGGAAGGGGATGGCTCCCGCTACTGTGCACACCCTAGGAGGGCTTGTGGGGAGGGATGCAGCCTGGATCTGCGTGGGGCAGGCAGGCTGCAGCTGTGGGTTGAGGCTAAGGCTGCGCCAGGCTCTTCCGAGCAGGGGCTGGGCCAGGCTGTGCTTGGGGTGGGTGACAGCAGCCCCAGGAAGGGACTGTAGCCCCCCCCAGCCCCCTTCCTACCGCCACCAGCCGCCCACCCAGAGTGGAGCTGGCCCAGCCCCCACCAGAAAGAGCCAGTGCCACCCTGACCCAACCCACAGCTGCAGCTCACCTTGCCCTGCAGAGATCTGGAGCACACACCCCCTTCCACCCTACGCCCTCCCAGTGTGCGTGCAGCAGTGGGAGCCCCTCCCCCCAGCATGAGCCATGGCTCCATCCTATGTTCTGCCCTGGCTGGGCAGCGCCTACCCCAGCCCCAGCCCCAGCCCCACTCCCTCCCTCACCGCGGGGGCCTCAATCTGC